TTTTTTTAATTTAAAGCATTAGCTCTGATTCCTCTCATTATTTTATTTGTATCCCTACTTTTGCAGCCTGGAAAGAATTCTCAGCCTATTAGTTTGTCAGAAGAGCTGAAGAAGAGTCAGCTGTGGACGACTGTTTTGTTGGTGACTCTGGTTGAGGGTAAGAAGCTGCCGGTGGACAGTCAGGCAGGTCAGTTCTCCGTTCTCTTCAAACTGGGAGAGCAGCGATACAGAAGCAAGGTATATCTCAACAGAAGACTGTTGCTCTTAATTTTTTCCTCTTCCTAATGTGTCTTTGTGATTCCTAATCCTGTTCCTTTTTCCCTTTTTGTAATTTAAAGTGTGTAGATGTTTTATGTTAGCCTAACCTCAGCGGATTTCCAGTATTCACAGAGACTTGTATTGTATTTATCCATTTATTTAGTAGTTGTTCTCTTCATTTTGCTCTTTTTTTGGGGGGTGAGTATTCCACGTCATTCTCGATTGGTGTGCCCATAGAACTAAAAGAAAATAAATCAATCTGATGTTAGTTTCAGGTACCACTCCAACTGTTATATATTGCTCTTTGCTCTGGATAAAATGCCCCCTGATGATGACATGAGTTACTTTGGCTTGGACACTTTCTTATTTCTTAATTTAAAACCCCCCATATGGAAAAGAAATAGTAAAAACATATGATTTACTCATGAAAGTGGCCACTTTCTCATTACTTTCATATATATTTTTTAGTAAGTATCCAAAACATACAAGTTTCATTATATAATTTTTCAAGGGATCTTATATGTGTTTTCACTCTTGTATGCTTTTCATACAAGACAGATAAAAACTTTATAAGATTTATATATATCTTTTCCATATGGGCCACAATAGTGGAAAAGTGAATTTTCAAGCTAAATGATGCTAACAAGCTGCATTATGTGTACTTAAATTTAAGTCTATTCTGTTTTCAACTTAAGGAAATCATGTGCTCAAATAATCATTAAAAATATGACTAAATGTGGATGTTAAGCCTTAGTAATCTTTTTCTGAAAGATGCATGTGTTTGGTTATTCTTTGTTCTTGTTTTCATATCAGCTTAAAATGTATCTTCAATCTGTAGGATTATTAGGCCCAAATCACTTTAAAGTGCTTTTATTAAAATGTACATTTGCA